TGAAAATGAGGCCAGTATTTAGTAAGTCAGTTCTATAGACCAGACAAAGCGTTGAGAAAATGTTTAAGCAAGAGAGAATTTGCTAGTATTGTTTAAGAGAACCGAAGTCAAAAGGATCACACGTTTTCCTCGATAAACTTTTGTAAGAACACAATTTGAACTGGGCAAATTAACTCGGTCAAATTTGTAGATACCTAAGAGGTTCATCTGCTGGCTCAATAAGTTGACTAAACCGTTAGTTGTGTTTAGAAATAACATTCGCCCTTGTCTAAAACAGTTTCTCGTTTGCCTTGGCAGTTATCCTGTCACACTTCCCCTCCAGTGCTGTCATTATATTATGTGCTAGTTATCTATAAAACATATTTATATTCGAATAAACGAACTCTAATCAACAACTGACGCACAAAAGAAAATGCTGCGATAATTTAAAAATAATTTCTTAAAATAAACCTACAGTTTCGACTTTTCTGAGAAGCAAAATTTGGATAAATTTGTGCCGTAACAGGAACTGCCTAAGACGCAGTTTGATCGAAAGTTTTTTTTTTGGTCATACGAAAAGGTTGAGTGCAGATCGTTTTCCTCCCCTTTTTTCCTTCCACTGTTGCATCAGCCCATTCGAACATACCTGAAGAAATCACTAGCCGTAAAGTAAAAATTTTTTCCACTTGGATAATACAAAACGCCAGTAAAATTTCAGTCGAAGAATTCTTGCCCAGCTCAAAATTGGACTTATAAGTTGCAGACTTTAAAGTTGTTCTGGCTATTGGAGCCTTTGGCTTGACTGTGCGCGTGTTCTTCTGGGTTTTAGGTCTCCTCCAACTACTTCTCCCTTTTTTAAAGTGCCGATTAAAGGATTACAAAGAGAATAGAAATGTCCTTCCCCTGAACAGTCAACAGCACGCGTTGCTGATTCGATTGAATTGACAGAGCTTCGACTTTGTGGCTTTCTTTGCTTGGAATTGTAAAGTAAATTTTGAAATTATAGGTGAAAAAATCCAGAAGTCAGGGAGCAATCTCATGTTTTCGGCTGTGCACATGTGCTGAAATTCCAAGCCTTCATCCAGAAGTGAAGTTCGGAAGCTTGCAAGCCGGATACACAAAGATAAGTGCACAAACACACAGGCGTAGGCTCTAATGTGCTCTCGCTCGAATATGTACTAGGCATGAAAACAAACAAATCAATGAATGGGCATGGCAGTGGACGCGCTGGCTGCATGCGCAGTAGAACTCGAATTTCGTTTTTGAGGTACAATAACTACAAAGTACTTCCCGCGATAAGCTTGTCTTTAAGCATCCCTTTGATCGAAGTTCTGGATACTTTGTTAGCGGGTACTTACTATCACTCGACCTAGTTCTAAGTGCTTCCGACTCTCACTGAGAGCGGACGCGGAGGAGTTTTGACTTTTGATTCGAATTTGTTGTCTTATAATAATCAATATTTTTTATAATCGTTTAGATATGATGCATTTCTGCGGCGCCTCCTCAACGCCATTTAGCAATTCAGGTTCGTTGACTATTCTTAATAGCTATTGGGAAGGATTATGTTGTCCAAGAGTTGCAGCCAATTCCAGCAGTGTTTTTCTAGTGGTCAGCAAAAGAGTAGGACAGTGGCTTGCTGCCGACTAATAGTTTTTGGTGTAGTGGTACCAACTTTTAGTACCACAAATGAGTCTTTCAATTACTATTTAAGAAAGGAGTAGGGAGGAAAATCTGCATTTGAGGCCACAGATAAAAATTTAACTAATGAGCCTAAAGAAGGAAAGGATTATTAATTTCTGAAAGATCAAAACGCGGGGAGATAAGTTTAAACTTGCCATCTGTGACAAAGAGGACCGGCTACATGTTGTTTTAGGAAAAGGTTCTCGAAAGAGAAGTTGGATTGTTCGTCCGAATTTGTAACACATTTGGAATAACTTATTAAGCGGTTCACTTACGAATTATCATACCCATATATATCAATGTTTGAATACCACCAGAATCGATGAAGCATTTGATAGTTCTGTGAAGATTTATTGGTAAGTTTTGAACTGAAAGCTAAAATGACAGTTACGGAGACAAATTTTTCAAAAACTTGCATCCTGAAGGAAAGTTGTAACCATTTTAGCTGATGTTAAGGCCATGCTGTTGAATGATTAGCACCCTAAAAATAAAAGCATTTTTTTTTCGGGCTTTTTTGTGATGGATGTCAACAATTTTAAATTAAACTTTATGGAGAAAATCTTGTTTTTTTTTCTTAGTAACGCTAATGGCAGGAGCAAATTAAGCACAAGCCTTGTCGTCAGCTTAATTTCACACCTTGGTGTTAGCTAGTTTAATGGATGAGAGCATTACATCTATTTAACTGGCCCATCAACTTTAGCTACTGACTCTTAGTGACGCTCAGAAGCCATCTTTCTTACAGCTAAGATGGATTAGAATGAATTCTAAAAATACTTAACCGTTCTTTAAACAATCTTGTAGGTGATGTCGAGTATCTTGTTATTAGTTTCTTAACGGCCTTCCGTTTCGTTCTTACGTACCAAAACGTGCAAGATTTTAACCTTGTCCTAGAAGTGAGTCTAAATTTTAGAGCTGCGTATGTGTATATGATACTGTCTTTTGCTCAGTTTAGCAGTTTTCTAGTCCCGAAATTTCTAGCCCGCAGCTTGGTTTGCTAAGTAGTTTCATTGCCAGCTGGACAGAGGCCACCGCTTCTAGGCGAAGTTTGAAAGTTCATATAAGCTGGATGCATCTACCGCGCAGTAAATGGGGCACATGGAATTTCTAGCTCAAAATCAATTTTTAGTTGCGTTATTTGTCTAATTCCAAAATTAATATCGAAATTCAGGAAACGGAGCATCCAAAAATTGAAGTGATTTCTTGGCTTTAAACTTGCAAGCGACAGCAAATATTTTTCACGAAATGTCTTTCTAGCTTTCGCAATACACGGATAGACATATAAACAAATACCTCAATATGAAAAAGATTACACCATAATATGTATTTAATTAACTCAAAAGCGCGTTTAATCAGTAAACACACCATCGTATCAGCTTGCAGTCTGCAGAAGAGGAAACATCGGTGATTTTGCAGCGAATGTTAGCTTTTATCAGTTGCCACTAGTCGGGCTACTTGCGAGTGCTTGCGTTTCTCATACTGAGTGAATACGAATAGTGAAATCACATAGTGATTAGCTCAGTCTTGCAAAGACTGCATGTAAGCAGGAAGAAAACAATTCTAGAGTGGCCAAACGACCGACCCAGTAGAGAATCAAGATATTTTTCATTGGAATTCTCATTTAGACAATGCGCCGAATATTTGACACCATGCAGAAAACACAGATGAACACGGAGCACAAAACCAACTAGAACTAGCAGCCAAGATAGGTCCTATCACGCTGAAAACCCACTTTCGTTCCAATTTTCGTGAAAAATTACCGCGAAGTGATATTTTTGCTTCCCTCCCTCGGCACTGTTCCCCGTCCACGCTATTTCATATGCAATTAAAACTTCCTATTCAGTTGTATCCGGCACCACGTTCTCGTCCCGTAAGCTCCAATTCTAAACGAGCAAAGCTTTTGAGCCAGGACACACGGCCAGCACTTCACTAGCAATAGTGTACCGATTTACTCAGTTTTGACCTTTTTTCCGCACTATTTCCACGTACCTCAACTCTCATTATCTTTCGTCCTCCTCTCCTCTACCTACCCCTCGTTTTCAATCCCTCTCCTCCTCCTCCCTTCGGTCTCCTCACCTTTGCTTTTCAAAGCATATCCCTCATTCTGCTTGAGAAAAGCCATGAAATCCGGATGCACGCCCATCCAGTACGGCTGCTGCCGGATGCTGCCTCGCAGAGCACATTTCATACACTGGTAAAGGCGGAGCATCTGAGTCGCTACAGTATCTAGCCTCCATCACAAGCCAGCGCAAGGGGCGGAGACTTTCTATTAGGGCGGGGCTAAGCTGCTGCTCTGTTCCTGTTCTGCCTTGCTGAAACTGCTCTCGCGGATGCACCTCCTTCAAGCCTCATTCTCAGATCGACCGTGGTTACAGATTTCATCGGTCATCTCCTTGACCCTTGCACATTCGTTGCCCGACATATCCCGGGGAGAGCAGTTGACTGCGTATGATGTCTCTCTCTCCCACTGGCTTGTCGGTATTTTTGGTAATGCTACCTATCTAGCTTCTAAGGCAGATTGCTCCTCCGTGCTCTTTTCTTTCTGCGCTCAGTTATAACTCTCAGGGCGGACAAGGATACGCAATGTAGTGACCCCCGCCCAGAATGTCGCCCTAATGTGTACTGGCCTGTGACGCGCCCTACCTCACTCCTTTAATTTCCGTGCTTAATTTATCTGCAACTACTACCCTAATTTTGCGCTACCCCATCTTTGCTGTCTTTTTAGTTTTTCCGTATTTATTTGCTTTGCTGCTTGTATCGGAATACGTTTTTGGCTCACCTGGCTAAATTCTGTGGCTGTCGAACCAGTTTTTTTTGTTTTTACACTTCTTATTTGAATGATTTCGACGAATTAGGCAGCAACAGCAGTGGGGCGCCAATAGTCCTTCTCACAGCCGCGTTTGCCTCTTTTTAATGCGCATAAGGATATCATATTTGTGTTTCGCACTACCTGCTAGTGATGACCCACGATATTATGACTGTGGTATGGCCTTATGCCGTGCGAGGCTGCTCGGTATAGGGTTACTCGTTCCCAGCTAGCGCTTCTCAGTTCTAACATTCCTTTAGAGTTCATCTTCATGAGTATTTCCAATTTCGTTGGTGCCAATAGTTATTTTTCCCAAAGCTTTATAAGAATTTTGGTTGCGAGGGAGGGAGTCGCAGTGCGGGAGATGGTTGAAAAGTTCCTTCGCAATCGTACGTGTAGAAAATTCCTTTAAATGAAACGCGGTCAAACGTGACTACGACAGAAAGCAAAATTTTTTGAGTGAATGCTGCTAGTTTTACAGGCAGTTGATGGAAGTCATAAGTCAGTAAGTGGTACTGATCGGAAATAGCGGGTGTAAATGCTTTTGAAGAGTATATTGCAGGCAGCAGGTACAAAAGTAAATAACGTGGCTCAAAACAGATGCCTTTGGCATAACAGCTTTTGGCATGTAGATGTGTTCCGGCACTACCATGAATATAGGCTCCCAAACAACTTGTCCGGATAGTACAGTTACAACCGCCAATTCCAAACACGTCCCTTTGCGCATGACACCTAGTATAATCCCTTGTCTCTTATTCTATTATTTTATGTTTCATTCATCTGAATTTTATGACACAAAATACACACACTGTGGGATCCGATTGTCAGAAAAATGCAATTAAAAGAGATTTCCAGTAAGCGGTCTGTTGCATAGTTTCACTCCTGGCCGTTTGGTCTGTCTCAATCTAGAAAACGAGCTGAGCTCGAAAGGAGGAGAAATTTTCTGATCTCTGTGGGTTTATCTGACGAGGTACGACGGTAGTTTTTTTTGCTTGCGGAGACTTCGTTTACCCAGACAAGTCAGTTCCACATATTTGCAGTTGTTTTTTATAAAATAAAATCAAAATCTATCATATTTCGCTTCCTGTGAAAAGTTGAGGCATTCTGAAATAACCCAAATTTTATAACGTACCAAAAGCAATCACTCATAAGCAAAGCTTTAGAAGGTTTCTTTTTCTGGACGTTGCTTGAAAGCAAGCTGATACCGATCCCTTGGCATGTGCAGGAACCAAATTTATCCCTGAAGCGAACGAATGAACTGCAGAGAAACTGTTTTTCCCACAAGCGATGTCGCTCTCTCAAACAATGTCACTACAGCATGTCCACTAGCTTTTCGCACTGTCCCGCAACATTTTTTCGGCTAATTTATGCAATCTTTTGATTTCGTACCCCAAAAATCGAACTATTGTCTATTTGTTCGCTGTAAAATGTGTGTAATGATTTCTTGTTTGTAGATTTGTTTTTCCACCCTTTCGGTATGTGTGGTGCTGTCTCACGACCTCATTTCATATCTCAGGCTTCTGAGTTTCCTTTGGGTTCAACTTCCAGGCTGCTGCTTCATTGGAATTGCCGAAAGAAAACGTCGATCGATCAGAGAGACCATGTGCGATTGCCACTGCATGTTACAAAAAGCCGAATATTAATCGATTGTTTGCTTCGGTTTCTCCTCGCCACAATATTACTTGATCTGTTGCCGCTCTCTCTGGGAACACGCCAATTGACTGCCGCTTGCCTGGACTGCAGCCGTAACACTGGCGGCCAATACTGCCGCTTATCGAAGTATTTATAGCGGTGCTCAAGACTCAGCTCTCGATACGCAGCCGCCTTCTCAACAACTCACCTCGTTTCGGCAGCATCGGCACCAGCGGCCACTGCCATCATCATCTACAACAGGTGTGGACGGCAGTAGTACTCATCCTGGCAGAACTGGTGGTTTAGGCCGCTCGAGCTTCTGGTCTGGCTCGAGTGGTAAAGAACCAAGAAGCTGTTCTGGAGCGGGAGGATCTGTGGGCGGTGGTTATTTGAGTTGCACCATTAAAATGTACGATCAACAACCTTCGATTGCGGACACATATGCATTGGTTGGTACCACACCGCCAAGCGACAGCGGTGCCAGCTCCGCTAAGATCGAGGGCAACCCGGATGCTCTCAACAGTTAGTTTTTCTTTTTTTTTTTAATTTTCCGAATTTATTGCTTGTTTTCTCAGCTTGCTGGTGATTTACATATAACTGATTTGCTGTTCTAAAACTCCAATATTTTGTTTTCGAAGAGCCATGAAGAGGACTGATTGTCGCCTGGGAAACGCTTCCTTCTGCATCGATTACCAGTTGGTAAGAAATGGCCATCATTTCTTTCGAGAACTGTTTTAAAAAGAAGCGAGGATGATTGATTTCCTGCATACAGAATATTTTATCGAAACATCTGTCGGCAGTGGCGAGTAGTAAAGTAGTGCTGCGGCAGCAGCAGCAGCAGCAGCAGCAGCAACAGCAGCAGCAGCAGCAGCAGCAGCAGCAGCAGCAGCA